AGTGAAAAATAGGTCACATATGAGGAATTGCCAAAATTGAAATTTCTCCCCATCCCGGGGTCATCGAAAATTTCCATTTTGGGCTGATTTTGGCCAAAAACATTTTCGAACTAAAAACTTACTTAAAGACGCTCCTTCAGTTTTCTGGGTAATACTTGAATGGATTACTAATGATTTCAGTGAAAAAAAGGCCACATATTAGGAATTGCCAAAATTGAAATTTCTCCCCATCCCGGGGTAATCGAAAATTTCCATTTTGGGCTGATTTTGGGCAAAAACATTTTCCAACTAAAAACTTACTTAGAGACGCTCTTTCAGTTTTCTGGGTAATACTTGAATGGATTACTAATGATTTCAGTGAAAAACAGGCCACATATTAGGAATTGCCGTAATTGAAATTTCTCCCCCACCCCGGGGTCATCGAAAATTTCAATTTTGGGCTGATTTTGGGCAAAAACATTTTCCAACTAAAAACTTACTTAGAGACGCTCTTTCAGTTTTCTGGGTAACACTTGAATGGATTACTAATGATTTCAGTGAAAAACAGGCAACACATTAGGAATTGCCAAAATTGAAATTTCTCCCCACCCCGGGGTCATCGAAAATTTCCATTTTGGGCTGATTTTGGCCAAAAAAATTTTCGAACTAAAAACTTACTTAGAGACGCTCTTTCAGTTTTCTGGGTAATACTTGAATGGATTACTAATTATTTCAGTGAAAAACAGGCCACATATTAGGAATTGCCATAATTGAAATTTCTCCCCACCCCGGGGTCATCGAAAATTTCAATTTTGGGCTGATTTTGGCCAAAAACATTTTCCAACTAAAAACTTACTTAAAGACTCTCTTACAGTTTTCTGACTAATACTTGAGTGGATTACTAATGATTTCAGTGTAAAACAGGCCACTTATCATGAATTGTCAAAATTGAAATTTCTCCCCACACCGGTGTCATCAAAAATTTCAATTTTGAGCTGATTTTTGCGAAAAAAAGTTTGGAACTAAAAACTTACTTAAAGACTCTCTTACAGTTTTCTGACTAATACTTGAGTGGATTACTAATGATTTCAGTGAAAAATAGGTCACATATGAGGAATTGCCAAAATTGAAATTTCTCCCCACCCCGGGGTCATCAAAAATTTCCATTTTGGGCTGATTTTGGCCAAAAACATTTTCGAACTAAAAACTTACTTAAAGACGCTCCTTCAGTTTTCTGGGTAACACTTGAATGGATTACTAATGATTTCAGTGAAAAACAGGCAACACATTAGGGATTGCCAAAATTGAAATTTCTCCCCACCCCGGGGTCATCGAAAATTTCAATGTTGGGCTGATTTCTGCCAAAAAAAAGTTTGGAACTAAAAACTTACTTAAAGACTCTCTTACAGTTTTCTTAATGATACTTAAGTGGATTACTAATGATTTCAGTGAAAAACAGGCAACATATTAGGAATTGCCAAAATTGAATTTCTCCCCATCCCGGGGTCATCGAAAATTTCATCTTTGGGCTGATTTTCACTGATTTTAAACATACCTCTATACTTTCTTACAGTCCTCCAATTAATAGTTGAGTGGTTCGCTAAAGAAAAAGAGGCCAGATTGGGAAATGCTTTTATACCAACAATATGAGACTGAAAACATTGGTTAATTATGCTAAACTTTCTTGCATAAGGTCATATTTTCTAGATATTGCTGCTGCTACACCAGGGCTTCATGATGCCATGCTCCACTGGACAGGTGGATTAAGTAAAACCTACCTACTATCTACTGTATTACTGGTTTTCAATCATCCCACGAGAGTGAAATAGCAAAAGATACGGCGGCCATGTTGGATGATATAACAAAAGAAACTAATGACGAAYCTTTTGTTAAATTAATCCAACACGGCGGCTGTRAAAACCATCAATTAAATATTGAAATACGCTTCTCTAGTGCCTGTAGGTCAATRACCACCAGGAAGTTAGCGAAAATTAACGGAAAAGGCCCGAAAATGTTGATGAGGGATGATAGAAATATCGTCTTACCTGTCATCTTCTGGTTCTATGTTTGAGGAGTCGTGAATGTTTCTTAAGCACATGGCTAAAACTAATTTATAGGCAGAAAGAGAGTTTAGGATATTGAAATATGTTTCATAACTCCACTTAATGGAAATCTTAACCTTTACTGGTTAAGAAAAAATACGAGAAATGTTTTACGAGCCAATAGGTACAACCTTCGAAGTGTATTTATCACAGGGAGCCCAATTTGGATTWAAATTGAAAAATTAMAAATAAAATCAGGAAAAAAATTATTTTTACAACCTCTATTTAACGTTTCGTATTCGATGAGATGACAAGATTGTGCTCTCTTTAACGTAAACGAATTAAAAAAGTCGACCGAAATCTGCAGTTAAATACTTTAGTAACGAAGCCTCGATATAACGAGCGCTCTGATTGGTTAATTAGGCAGTTATATCTAAGACTGTATGTTCCTACTATACTGATTAAAATTTTGCATAGAAATAGGGCGTTGGTTAGTATTTGTTTCACGGGTTTAGTGCGTCCACTCTATATAGTGGCCGCGGAGCACCCTAAAAAGTGTGTGTGTGGGGAAGGAGGGGGGGTTAAGATTGGAAAATATGAGACTGGTATAAAATTCTGCATGAGTTCCCAGACGGTGCTCGGCTCCCAACCATCACATAGCTAACAGTCAATCCACAAGAAATGTGCTGTAAAAACAACACTGACAAGGTAGAACTGATCAACTTCCTTTATTAAAATATTTAATAGACAACACGACTTTAGGCTGTCTTATAAATCGAGTTTATTTACATAGCAATACTCATCTTGATTTTTTTTTTGCTTCGCCGTTTTTATCAGTATCGATGTAAGATCCCTCGAGTTGGGTAAGTATGTATTTGATTATCAATGCACAAAGATACAAATGCACGCATCTGCCCAATCTATCTGAATCGATTTACTGTGGACTAGGGCACCGTTAACTACGGACTAGAGGACTATGTTGGGATAGTTCCACTTCCGGGTTGAGTAGGAGCATCCGCTTCATTGTCGCTGGTGTCTTTTAATCCTTGAAGACCCTTTGGTAGACGTGTGTCCTCATTCTCACTTCCGGTTCCGGCAACGAATTCTTCATAAGTTGATTTCTCTTTGAATGGCCTGGGTCCTAATAGTTCAATCATGTCTTCGCGGTTTAAGACCTCTTTCTCCAACAGACGTTTAGCAACCTGGAATACAATGAATTTGAAGCCCTTTCTTAATAATGCGTGACAAAGAAGAAGCTTTCTAAACACAATGAAATCGATTATTGGCGGGGCTCGAACTTAACCCCCTTGTCTACTAGAAAACATTTGAATTTCTGTTTCTTAATCAAAATTTGTTAGATTTTTTTCAACTAGCAAAGTCGCAATGTTCATCAGCTCAATCACAAGCTTTCATAAAAAATTTTCTCGTAAACAGCACATAATGGTAATAGCACATTTCCCGCCGAAACATGCTTCGCTGTCACGCACAAAGGTTTCRATGCGAGGCTTCGTGCATAATGCTCAGTGAAAGTAGAAAAGATTAAACTTAATTTCGCACATAGCCTCTTCTAAAACCGTTGTGTGTGACAAGCGAAGCATATCTCGGAAGTAGACTATTATTTTTTCTGCTCCACTCTCTCCTAAAATCGTGCGTTCTGATTAGCCATGAAAAACCCAACCCTCTAGGGACGAGGATTTCTTTTAACACGCGATTCTATTTACATACCTGTTCTACATTATGTTTATGATCAGTCAGTAATTTTGTCGTTCTGTCATAAGCCCTGTTTATGAGTTCTCTGGCCTGTTCATCTATCAGCTGTGCTGTGGCTTCGCTGTATGGCTTGTCAAAGCTTGGTTCGCCTTCTCTTGGCAGATCGAACGATACGTTGCCTAGCTTTTCGTTCATTCCAAAAGTGACAACCTGAACAGAACACGGATATGACAGTTAACTGTAGCCCATATATGAACAATTCGCACTTCTCTTTCATTTACAAACCTGTGCATATGCGCTCTTGGTGACTTTACTCAAATCATCCTGAGCTCCTGTAGTTATGCGACCAAAAAATATCTGTTCTGACACGCGACCACCCAGTGTCATACACATTTTGTCTAACAGCTGCAACAGACAGTGAATGATGGTAAGTATGGGTTGGATAGCAGTTATTACAATAAGTTAAGTAGGGGATGGCTCAAACAAAAACTACTGGCTAAAAGGAAAGTACGGGTACAATGTAAAGGAAAGAAGTAAATGGAGAACAAATCAGAAAAATATAAAATAGAACAGAAATGAAGAGAAGTTGTTTGAAGAAAGAAGAGGAGAGGAGAGGAGAGGAGAGGAGAGGAGAAATGAGTGGAGTCAGGAGATGAAAGAGAAGGGTGAGAGATTGGGAAGAGAGGGGGAAGAGACAAGAGGGGGAAGAGAGGGCGAAGAGACAAGAAGGGGAAGAGAGGGAGAAGAGAGGGGAAGAGAGGGGGAAAAGAAGGGGAAGAGACAAGAGGGAAAGAAAGAATTAATAACAATGCAGAAAGATAAAATAACAAAGGATGGGAATTCTTTTACCTGTTCTGTGGATAATAAATATTGTTCTTTAGGCAAATATTGTGCATAACCCAATCCTTTCCCTCTAGGAATGATGGAAACCTACAAAGAAAAAAGAGATCAAATAAAAAATAGAAAATAGAAGAAAGAAGAGAAGGATAAAAAGGATTCTGCAGGCAGTACCTTGAGTAGAGGATCAGCATGTTCCAAGAACCAGCCAGCTACAGCATGTCCTGCCTCATGGTAYGCTACTGTTTTCTTTTCTTCTGGCTGAAGAACTTGAGTCTTCTTTTCTAAACCTTCGTTTATAACAGTAGAAATAATGCTAATATTATATTGCTTCTCCTGTTCAAACTGACCACTAAAATTTGACTTGCACTGCTGTTCAGGTAAAGAAATAAAGGGATTTGAGACTGCATAAGCAGGTAGGTTCRACTCCTGCCGGGTTCTGTGTTGTATGTGAGTAGAGTTTCTGGTTGGTTCTCTCCTGTGCTTCAATGATTTTTCTCCTGGTTCTCAATTTTCCTCCCTTCATAAAAATCAACTTCTAAATTCCACTTGGATCATAGAACCAGGGCCAAAGGTTTCTTTGCCACTAGCTATTAAGTGCTACCCTCGTAAAAACAAGGTTAGTAGATAGCACAGGGAGTTAGTAGGGACTTTAAGATTTGCAAAATCTACGACGGCGACATCAACCGGAAATGTAAATAATTTCTCTTTGGGGTTCTGTTTGAATTGGAGATTTCATTCAAAACATTGCCAGTAAAGTCAACTCATCCACAGGTAGACAGACTTTGAGGGGGCGAAACCCCAAAGTGAAGTAATTGACACTTCCGGTTGACGTCGCCATTGCAGATTTTACAAATCTTAAAGTCCCTAGTCTGGTACGAGGGGTACTACATGTAGTATTGGGGTGCTAACAATGCATGTCCTAATATCCTTCCCTATCTTCCCCTAAAGCCCATTTATACAACAATTCTGTCAATTTTTCTACCATCAATGATCAAGCAGTCTATTAGCAAAGATGGTCAACATTACCTCCAATGACTCTCTCAATAGCCTTCTCAAAATGTGATTCTTCTACCACAGGGGACAAGTATCTTGCTGCAATAAGYGCTGCCTCATTACACACATTAGCAATATCAGCACCTTGAAAAAATAAATATGCATGTCAGCTATTTTTATAAATCCAGACATGCAGCAATCACACATGCAGCATTAGCAAAAATAGTGGTGATCATGTACTTTACTTTAAAGTGCCTATGACCCCAATCTCAATATTTTCAGTATTGATTCTACATGAAGTGAATAGTTGAATGGTGAAATATTTTTATATGATTTGAGGGATGCATCTTGGAGGTATCAAGGTTGAATCAAGAATCAATGCTGAAAATATTGAGTTAGGGGTCATAGGCACTTTAAATGTAGTGCCAGTAGTGGGTACATGTAGTGTGTGCATAGCAAAAGAAGTCCATTTTCAATAGATGTCTTAATGTAAGGTGTACCTGTAAATCCTGGGGTCAGTGCAGCCATTCTTCGCGCAAGTTTTTCTTCATCAACATTCTTCTTGATTGGTTTCAAGTGGACTTTRAAGATGGAGCATCTGAAAGGAAGAAAGTGTAAGGATATGTAAGAACTATAATAAAGATATTCACAGACAAGAACTATTATCAACAAGGGAATCAAATTAACACAGTAGTAAAAAGCTAGACTCCTAACAAGCATGCCACATTTGCATTGCCCTTATCTCCAGATAAAAAGAATATAATGTTAACAATGATTTTATGTCACGATGATCATTTATAACCCATAACGGTATCACCAACAATATCAACACTACCATCACCACCATTGTCAACAATATCATCACCACCGCTACCATCATCATCGCCATCATCATCATCACCACCACCATCATCATCATCATGTCTATCAACAACACCACCATCATCATCATCATCCCCATCAACATCACCACCACCACCACCACCATCATGTTTGTCAACAACACCACCACCATCATGTTTGTCAACAACACCACCACCATCATGTTTGTCAACAACACCACCACCATTATCATCACCGCTATCATCATCATCACCACTTTCATCATTATCATCATCATTATCATCATCATCATCATCACCCTCATTATTATCATGAACAACAACAAAATTAGCCATGTGCTTTACCTTCCCTTGATGTCTGGTGCAGACAAGTGTATCTGTCTGTCAAACCTTCCAGGTCTCAGTAAAGCAGGATCCAAYACATCTGGTCTGTTTGTACCAGCTAGCACTACTACATTAGTAGTAGAACTAAAACCTACAAATAACCAAGCCAATATTGTAATAAACCATATACTCTTGATATTTCCTATCATAGGGTATCATTTATTTGTTTAATGATTGCACATTTTAAATGAATAAATAAAATACATATGATAATTACCATCCATTTCTACCAGAAGTTGATTCAGAGTGTTCTCTCTCTCGTCATGTCCACCAAACTGTCCTGTTCTTCCTCGTGCTCGTCCAACAGCATCTATTTCATCAATAAAGATGATACAAGGTGCATTCTTCCTGGCYTGTCCAAACAAGTCTCGCACTCTAGCTGGACCAACACCAACAAACATTTCCAGGAATTCTGATCCAGACACTGTTAGGAATGGTACTTCTGCTTCTCCTGCTGTKGCTTTGGCAAGAAGTGTTTTACCAGTTCCTGGTGGCCCAGATAATATTGCACCCTGAGAATAAACAAGAAAAATAAATAAAATACAGTATCTTACCCACAGAGCCCCTGAAGTCATGGACACTGACAAACGGGAAGCACAGGTGGCATAGCGGTGAGAGCGCTCGCCTCTCACTAATGCGACCTGGGTTGGAGTCCCGCTGAGATCGGTGTCGTATGTGAGTAGAATTGTTTGTTGGTTCTCTCCTGTGCTTCGAGGGTTTTCCGGGTTCCCCGGCTTTCCTCCCTCCACAAAAATCAACTCCTAAATTCCAATTGGAATTACAGTGGATGAATAGCTACTCTTAATAGAAATGCCACTGCTAAATCCCATTTATTATTTTTATAATTATTTATCATTATTAACCTTAGTCCTGTACTAAACCCTTGAAATAATAAGTAACATAGTACAATATATAATATGAGCAGCAATGAGCAGCAGTCATAACGCCCATTCAGATCTTATGTGAATACTATTGCTTAGCCAATGTCTAGGGAATTACGGTCTTTTCGCTACCTTGCACTTTCGCTACTGCACTTTTGCTACTAATAGAAGTCGATTCACTACTTAATAGAAGTCGATTCGCTACCTTGAGGTAGCACAATCCCTACTTTATCTCAAGATGCCTGTAAACCTCCTCTATAACATTTTGGATCGTTTATTATCAGTATTTCTAAGTAATTTRTTATTATTTGAATGTTTTTTTGAAGAAAGAAATTTCAAAGCGTATTTGGCGTAATGGACAAGTCGGCCTCATATCCGTCTTGTAATCTGTTATATCGAACTGGTTTCTTGATTTCTCTCTTTTCTTAGAAAATTTTTTGAAGGATATTCATGTCAAGGAAGAATTTAAGTTACGAGAAAAGCAACCTAGTGGAGTTATTTTAGCTTCGTTGTAAAGTAGCGAACGGACTTATGGCGTTATGTGACAACAAACAAATAAATACCACACAATGCCCACGCCGGGAGTCCATTCGCTACTTTACTACGAAGCTAAAAAAACTCTAAAAAAAGCTTCACTAGATTGCTTGTTTTGTAGCTAAAATTCTTCCTTGACATAAACCTTTTATTTTGAAGTCAAACTTTTAGTTATCAAGCAAAAGCGGGAATAAAAATAAGCCTTCATTTCTCATAGCTTTCGATTTGTTTTTTGTCACACAACGCCGAGAGTCCAATCGCTACTTTACTACGAAGCAAGCCAAAATAACTCTGAAAAAAAACTTGACTAGACTTCTTCTAAAACTAAAACTAAAACTTTTTATTTGTCAGAAAAGTTCTTCATTGAACGCAAGATTTTATTAGTCGTTAACTCGCACATAAATGAGATGTAAATATCCTCTCTTCGCTAGGTTTAGATTACTCGATCGACATCTGACCAGAAAATTTATAAGTTTCAATGCCGTAAAACCCAATTTAAATTTATCGATATAGACTCAAAATTAATATAATTATATGTAATATATATTCCTGATATTGTGATATTTAACATTTGAGATAAGGTAGCGAATCGACCTTTTAGGTAAGTAGCGAAAGTGCAAGGTAGCGAAAAGACCGAATACCTGTCTAGGAGTTTAATTTTACGTTCTATAATATTTTTAAAGTGAGTTTGACTTGGATAATCCATGTCAAAAATCCATGTCAAAGTTTAATGAAAATCAAGATGATATAGCACAGTGGATGGTCATTACCTACCTTAGGAATCTTAGCACCAAGTTCATGATATTGTTGAGGGTTCTTTAG